AAGGGAAGGGAAGGGAAGGGAAGGGAAGGGAAGGGAAGGGAAGGGAAAGGGAAGGGAAGGGAAGGGAAGGGAAGGGAAGGGAAGGGAAGGGAAGTCCAGGAGTTTCTAGACTTTGCTATCGGACTGGAATAGATTTCATGTTATGAGATAACTAAAGCAATCATCATTTTTCTACAAACTGCTCCTAAGAACTTGATCATGCAATTCACCAGTTTTTCACTTTTTTCCCCATTAGGTTTTACTATTTTTTAAATACTCATTTGATTCTAATGTCTTCAATCTTTCTTCCTGTTTACTTATTCTAATTGCTTTATTTCAATTTATTCAAACAAAAGTCTACTATTGCAGCCTAGACCTGGAAAATACCCATTTTAAAAGTGCAGACTAAAATAAAACTGATTTACAACCTTCTAAATCTAAGGAGAGATTACATTTAATGTTCGCAGATAATTATATAAGAATTTCAGAGAGTAACACTCTGAATATATAAACCTCCTGCTAATTTATAGTTCAAAACTGATCAAGATAAAATTTAAACTTGAAGATTGTTTCTAGTTTACAATATTTTTTTAGTTCCACTGGATTTCCTCTCTTTCAGGTGTAACATGGCATGATCATTTATAGGGAATGCAAGTACAGAGACATCTTGTGGTAACAAGACATTTGTAAACAAATGCACTTTTCTATACTGAAAATTCTCTTTTGATGCATTAAATAATTTGAGTATACTACAACTTTTTGAAGTCATTTCAAAACAAAACATTTCAAATTAAAATATCAAAATGTTTCACTGATAAAAATGTTAATTCTTTTAAAGAATTGTTTGGAGGTTTTAATGACCAGAGCAAAACTGTTGAAATTAAAATACTCAGTTCTAATTTCATTAAATACAAGCAGCTGCTATGAGTTCAAACTACCTAGAAAAAAAATTTAATCAAACAAATACAAGGAAAATCATTGTCCCCTTACAGAGGAATACTGAAAAACTCTCCAGTTGTGGGGAAATTAAATGATGCATCCAAATGGCAACAAGGAAAAGTCAGGACAGATGCTTCTTCCTGTGGTGGTCCCTAAAAAAGACATTAGAAGTAATGGCTGGAAGTGACATGGGTATGTCAAGACTTTCCTCCAGTTGTCAGTCTCCATGCTGGACTTTTTTCATTCCATTTCTTCACCTTAAAAAGAAAGGTACCTCTTATCACTTCCATGAAACATTTGGAGTTCTGCTGGAAATATTATCTTCTACTTTCAATACAAATGGGATCTAGAAAAATATGAAAAATACCTTTTCACTCTTGGGAGGCTTCAGAGATGTTTATCATGCAAAAATGGCCACATTAAGAAAGGTATTGTTACTGACAGTATTAATACTGTCAGTATTAAATGCACTAGAAACCGGAATGCTTACAGGTTATGCAAATTTTCAGGAACCTAGATGAGTCTATCCTGTTATTAAATAAATGCCATTGACCAATACTCTTTTAAATGAAAGAGGAAAAAAAAGTAAATTTTGAAGATTACAGAAAAATTTTTAAATCCTACAGATTTAAATATTACCTAATGCTGCATGACTGAGGGGTCATGAGGTTCAGGGAGATTAAACACTTCAGCTATGACTACAGATCAAGGTCAGACACCAGCTTTGGAAGAACGCTCCACACCCCAAGCTGCAGCTTTTAACAGCAGCTGACAGAATCTTTTATAGGCATATTATCCTTCAGTTTACTGGCATAAAAGCGGCCATGCATGCGATGCTAATCATTACAAGCTACCATAAAAAAAAAGAGAACTCTCACCAAAAATATTTGAAACAGATGTTGAGTGCAACATTAGACATAGGTCTGTGTTGCCCTCTGGAATGTGAATAAAACAAATATGTTAGTATTTTCAAGTACAGAACTAAATTCCTGTGAGTGGATTTACTTCACTGCATCACAACAAGATCCCTTGCATGATACCAGGTTAAAGAACAATTTTGGGTCTGAAATGCTAAATGAGCTTGCAGAGTGACAATTGAGATTGCTACTAACTGACCTGGAAGACATCACAGGCTGTTCTGCCAGACGTCTAAAAAGTCAGACATTTATGGAAGAGAGAGCATTCAGTCCAGAAAGTGTGTTGCTCCTATTGCCATTATTTTTTGTTAGTATTGTATCCTGTCTTCTGAAGACCAAAAATCTTGTCCTTATGCAGATTTCCAAGGCCTGCAGAGGAGGGAGAGGGTAGATACAGAGAAGATTACTCACTTCTGCTTTCACAAAGTTGTAGCATAGCTATTTATAATGTTCAAAGTACTGTTTAAAAATATTTGGTTCACCTTTAACCAGAAGACAGAGTCTTTTCATGTAAACAGCTAGATAGTTTAACAGTTTTTACCAAATTACCAATTATAAGTACAGCTT